AAGGAGTTCAAAGGAGTGTTTGGGGTTCAAAGGACGAACGGCGGCAGAGGGAGACGAAACGGAGGACGGAGGACGACGAACCACAACGGAGGACGAACGGGGAGCCTGCGACAGCGAATTGAGGTAAACCTGAATCATAGTGAAGTTAGGGTTTACGTTTGGCTTCAATTTTTGTAGAAATTAGTCGATTAGGTGTGTTTCGGGTTGGATTTTGTTTGCTATTTGTGTTAGGGTTCCAGATTTGGCTTTAATTTGTGATACCTTCTAGGTTTTGGGATTTGCCTTCATACCTGTTAGGCTTTGGGATTTGCCTTCATACCTGTATGTGCATTTATTTTGGGACATTACTGGGATTTGCCTATATTCGACGCTCAAAGTCATCAGAAGACTCAAATGAGTTCATACTTTGCCTGCCATTTTGCCCTTCATCATCAACTGTTTAGAAATAGGAATCAGATATAGAATATAGAATTGCCTTTAAAGCTTGTAAAAAGTGCATTCCTATAGGCGCATAACCAAATATGACCAGAGGTTACAGGGTACCATCTCTGTAATAGAAATCTAAAAATTAAAACATGAACTGATGGGCCTACAGGTAACATGTAAATGTGATATTATGGCGTAATTAGGGCAAATGCATCTGTACAATCATCAATTTCTGAACCTTGTTAGCTGGGGTTGATTACTAACATAGTTTGAGCTAGATGTTTAGAGGCTCAGATAAACATGTATCAAATTTGAACTAATTGGACAGACCTATAAAGTAGTAGGAGTATTCTGCTCCCATCCCATGTGTTTAGGAAGGATAGGATGCATGGCTTCTGTTGCCTAGATGCTACTTTGATGCATAATTATTATACTTTTTTTTTATTTAGTTAGTTCATTGAGTTCTATAATTAGTTAATTGAAGTTGTATTTTGAAAGCTCATGTTTTGAAAAAAAAACAAAACACCCCCTTAGATTTGAGAAAATAAGTTATTAAAGTAAGATGCCAAACTGCCTTCATACCTGTTAGGCTTTGGGATTTGCCTTCATACCTGTATGTGCATTTATTTTGGGACATTACTGGGATTTGCCTATATTCGACACTCAAAGTCATCAGAAGACTCAAATGAGTTCATACTTTGCCTGCCATTTTGCCCCTCATCATCAACTATTTAGAAACAGGAATCAGATATAGAATATAGAATTGCCTTTAAAGCTTGTAAAAAGTGCATTCCTATAGGCACATCACCAAATATGACCAGACGTTACAGGGTACCATCTCTGTAATAGAAATCTAAAAATTAAAACATGAACTGATGGGCCTACAGGTAACATGTAAATGTGATATTATGGCATAATTAGGGCAAATGCATCTGTACAATCATCAATTTCTGAACCTTGTTAGCTAGGGTTGATTACTAACATAGTTTGAGCTAGATGCTTAGAGGCTCAGATAAACATGTATCAAATTTGAACTAATTGGACAGACCTATAAAGTAGTAGGAGTATTCTCCTCTCATCCCATGTGTTTAGGAAGGATAGGATGCATGGCTTCTGTTGCCTAGATGCTACTTTGATGCATAATTATTATACTTTTTTTTTATTTAGTTAGTTCATTGAGTTCTATAATTAGTTAATTGAAGTTGTATTTTGAAAGCTCATGTTTTGAAAAAAAACCAAAACACCTCCTTAGATTTGAGAAAATAAGTTATTAAAGTAAGATGCCAAACCACTCAAGTTTGTTAAAAAAGGACATGTATTTTGATGACAAGATGATGAATTTTACAGAGATGATTGGCATTTTCATTGGAAAAGCAGTGTTCAATTGGTATTACCAAAACCAAACTAATACCAGCAAAGTTTAGAGCCTTCATGAAAACAACAGTTTCATATAGAAGCATATGAGAGAGTAGAGAGAGGTATACTTTAATGTGAGTGATATTGTCACCATGAAAAAGAGATGACACCAAAATAGGGTGACATAGGCCATCTTATTATAAAGCTTTGCGTTCACATGAAGAAGCTTTATAAAGAGATGACAAGAAAATATATATAAATAATTGAAGAAGCTTTTTATTCTTTTTTCTTTTTTCAATTTTCTTTTCCTTTTTCCTCCCCTCTACAAACCCAATATCCATGTATGTGGTATTTTTTATGTAGATAAACAAATGGCTTCATCTTCTACTAATGATACGAACTTAAGATTAAAGCCAATGTTTTGTAATTGTGGAAGAACAGCTTCCGTGCGTATTGTATGAACCAATGCAAATGGAAATAAAGGACGTGTCTATTTTGTTTGCCCAAGAAAATATGTAAGTACCTGTTATATAAATGAATCTGTTACTTTTTACAAATTTCATTTGTCCTTTATTGATTAATTGATTCTTGTCCATTGTAGTCTACGAACGACCACTGCAATTACTTCAGGTAGTTCGCAGATGATGACGACGACAACGACATTACCTCATCAACTTCAACCAATGCTGGACCTCAGACAGATTCAAGAACAGAAGAAATTAATGATCTAAGGAGAAAGCTTGGTGAGCATGATAGAAGGCTTCAAAGGATGGAGAAGATGTTCAAGGCAATGACTTATGTCATTGTATTTTGTGTATTTTTGTACTTTATCATGTAAATGACTCAGTTGTTAGGTTTTCGAACATGCTATGAATGTAATCTACTTTTCTACTTGTTTTGTAATTTTTTTTTTGGTGCTTCAAAATCTGATAGCTTGCAAAAACAAGTGTATAACAGGTTTGTTTGAGATGAAATGTGTTGAATGAACAGTTTGTGAAATCTATTGAGTTATGTTGGTTGCTTAACAGTGTGTATTATATGTGATGGTTTGAAAAAAACAAGTATATTGATTAACAGGTTGAACATGAGCTATTGAAATGTGTTCAATGAACAGGTTGAACAAGTTGAATAACAAGGTGTTCAATGAACATGTTGAACAGGTTGAAGGTGTATAACAGGTTTCTTTGCGATGAAATGTGTTGAATTTTTAAAGTGGATATTGATTATGAACAGTGTGTGAAATCTTTTGAATTATGTTGGTTGCTTAACAGTTTGTATTATATGTGATGCTTTGAAAATGTTGTATGAAATGTTCAATGCTGTATAACAGGTTTCTGAAATTCAGGTTGTTCATGACCAACATTTTAACAAAAATATTTATTTCAAATATTTATTTCAGAAAAAACTAGGAACTCATTTACTAATATAACATATTTATATTGACAAAAAGATGTAAGATGCATTTAGCACTCTGGGAAAACATAATAAATAAAATTAGAGAATGAGTACTGGACCTTGGAACTTCAAAGATCACACAGATTGCACTTAAACTTTGACATGTAACATATTGCACATGATATCCTACCAGATAAACAAAAATGAAAGCAGACTCTTTTTGCTTGTTTTTGACCATGCACAATGACACAGAGCTACACCAAATTTATACCCACTATGATCAATAAACCTGAATAAGTAGAGTAAATGAGAACATTGGAGTTATGTCTGATAAACTACTCACTAGACATGTTTACGTTACCACATAAATGACACAATTGAGCATATTTAACTACTTTGCTACAGACCGAAAAGGGAAGGGAGGAAAACAGAAACAAAAAAAGAAACCTGATTATGACAGAAAACCAGCACAAAGGTGATGATTTTCTTGGATAAAACCAAACAAACAAGCAAATAACTTCTAAAAGGAGCTGCTACTTACATGACATGAATGTTATAAATAAATAGAGATACAAGTCCCACAATAGAAACAGGTTGAACAGAAATTTTAGCATTATTTCAGCATTATTCAGCAACATTTCAGCATTATTCAACTACAAATTCAGCAACCTGTTATTTCAACATAAATTTAGCATTTTAGCATTATTCAGCATAAATTCAGCATTTCAACATTGTTCAAGCAGCATGTCAACATTGTTCATCAACTGTTCAGCAACATTTCAGCATTATTCAAGCAACATTTGAACAGAAATTTCATCAAAATTTAAGCAACAATTGAACCCAAATTTCAACAACATTTCAGGGATGGTATCAACAAATTTTTAGCAACAGTTTAATGAAAGGTTTTGAATATTACATATCCAACAAAAAATTCACAAAAATTCCCAAAACAAAATAACGCTAAGATGTTGGCATGTGATCCACATCCCCATGCCCATGGCCACGCCCACGACCACGACCACGACCATATAGTACCTACAAAAAAAATAAAATAATATTACATCAAAGGAACCATAAAATAAAATGGAACTTTAAATGAATGAATGACAAAATAAAAGAGGAAATGTGAAAAATAAATTACTTGACTACATGCGGGACTATTTGAAGCTTGCGAGTGATAACTACTTGCATTGTTAAGCAATGCTTGATAGGTTCCATGGACGGAATACATCGATAGCATTGAAAAATGCATATTGTGATGAAGAAAACTTGGCTGCAACAATAACAAACACATATCAATTTAAAATGATAATGGTCACCTACAAATCCCTACTAAAACTTTTTATTAAACCAACTTACATCATAGGCGGGATACATAAATTGAGCCGAAGAAGCTCTAACTTGAGGAACACTCGGCGAGAATGGACAAAGTTGAGGAGCACTTGAAAATAAAGGAGCCGACTGAGGAAATAAGGGAGGTGCTTCAGGAGCACTTACCGAAAATAAGGGAGGAGTTTGAGGAGTAACAGACATGGAAGTTTGAGAAGTATTATGTGAACTTGTTTTATTTTTCTTTGCCAATGCAAGCTCCAAACCACCCTTTGCTCGCCTTCGTCCCTTGCTAGTGCACTCTCTTCTCTTGAGTCCTTTTGCTTGAACTACATTTTTATCCGCTACACCATCCACTTCAAAGCTTTCGAGTGTTAGCTAACTAAGAGTTCAAAGGAAAATAAGTGCAACAAAACTAAAATTTTGAGCTAAAACATTATATGCCACCTTAATTGCCATGAATTTTAAAGCTTAAAAAGCTAATATGATTGAACTCAGTCAAGTAAATGAGCTGGTATATGAGCAACTATAGAAATTTTCAAGATTTCGTGAAGTTTACACAGAACCCAAACATATGTTTCCTCACTTTCAGAAGCTCTACACGCTACTGATCTGAATATTGCCATCAATGACCTATAACGTGAAGTTTGATGTAATCTTACATCAACCTGAATATCATGCCCACACCTATCTTTCACATTTTCAGATCTTGCTTTTTTAGTCCATCTCTTCAGAATATATTGTGAAGGAATCTCTTTGAATTTGAGTCTTTCTCTAAGGATCTTCAAACAATGACTACACAAAATGCCCTTCATTTCAAACTTCCTACAATTGCAAGTGACCGAATCATCACACTCCTGCCTCACATTCCTCACCTTTATACCATCACTATCAAGAACCGTATAAACGGTACTCTCACCATCATTTTCAATTTCTTCAATGTTGACTTTAAGGGACTTGACATACTCATCCTGAAATTCTTCAAAAATTTTATTTGTGTAAACATCTGCAGCTTGCTCCATAATCTTCATTTTAATATTCACCCTTGGCAACTTTTGGCATAGAGCATATTCGGCTTATAACTCTTTGTACCTCTTCTCAGAAAGAACTCGATCAAAATGCATGAAAAATTGCATTAAGTTATGATCAGACTGAATGAAATCCTTCAAGAAAGCATTAAAGGATTTACTAAGTTTGATGCTACTCATGCCCGCACCCCATGCATTTCTAACATATGGCCAACCCCATTTTTCCTTGACCCCAAATGTTAACTTCAACCAATGATTATCTCTTACTTCATACTTGTCAAGCATTTCCTCCAATTTTAACGTAAACTCTTCCTCATCCTCAATGTCGTACATAAACGTGGATAAAACACTCTTCATCACCTTATCCTTCACCGCCTTATCCTTGAAGATAGAATTTGCATGCCTTAATGCATTTTGCATCAAATGCCAAGTGCAAAGGCGGTGGGTTGTGTTAGACATGACAATAGGTATGGCTTTAGCCATTGTAGCATCCTGATTCGTAAAAATTGTTTTTGGAGCCTTACTTGACATTGCCTCCAAGAATCTTCTAAAAAGCCATACAAAAGAATCGGCGGTCTCATCATACATCAAAGCTGCACCAAATATCACAGTTTCCCTATGATGGTTAAATCCAACAAAAGACACAAATGGTCTATGTGCACTACTTAACTTGTAAGTAGTGTCGAAAGTCAAATTGCCCATAATCCATGATCATCTGAGCATCGGCCCAAAATATGTTTGTAATCTGCTCCTCGTTATCTAATTGGACCGAGTAAAAAAAAGATGGATTCTCCAATGATTTGTCATGAAAATATTACAAAATGCTACCTGCCTCCCCATATGCTAAACTGTTTTGCCTCTTCGTTCTCAAATAATTTTTTTGGTCCAGTTTTGTGAACCCAAATGACTCTCTTCCACCAACTTCATTACCCATGAGCTCAAATGCAGCATTAAGACGAATTCCAGATTTTTCGGCTAAATCTATTTCGGTTGCCTGTGATGCAGATATCTTCCTTTGGGATAGTAACATATGCGTACATTCTGCTGGTACAAAGATATGATTATGTTGTTCAACAAAATCACTAACAAAAAATTTCTGAATATTCCTATCCCACTTAATGACAACTCGGGCTTGATAACCAGTCCTTACTTCCTGCCTAGGATTTTTTGTTAATGGATCTCGTTTGTCGACAATCCGAAATCTCCTTATTACAAACAAATTGCCTTAAAGTGATTTGCCCCTCTTTGCTCTTGTTTACATAACCCCTTCTAATACTAAAGCTCAACCTTTCTCCATAAGTATTATAGAAATCATATGCTTCTTGTTCTGTACCAAATGTCATGCGAACTCTAGGCTTCCAATCACACTCACCCCGTCATTCTCATGATTGTTAGGTTCCATATCAATGTGCCAAGTCACTTAAAAAATAAAGAAGTGCTCAATATTAGCATAAAAACTGTAAATTATGTTTACAAAATAATACAAACTGAATAAGATAATCAACGAATAACAAACTAAATAATACAAACTAAATTATGGTCTTTGTTATGTATCACAGTGTGGTTTTAAGATGTTCACTGCAACAGGTATTCATTGTTAAATTCAGAAAAAAAAAGGAAGATTATTTTTCTAGGAAGTACCTAAACTGTCTATAAATCTATATAATATATATATATAATCACAAAGAATATTTGTTCAAAATAATCAAATTCATAATAAAATTGTTCTAAATCTATATATATATATATATATATATATCTAAACTACTGTTCTAAATAATCAAATTCTCCAAGGATTGTTCTAAATCTATATACATATCTAAACTATTGTCTATATATCTATTATCACAGGGATTGAGCAATATTCAGCACAACACAGATGAGGCAGAAAAAATTTATGTTCTCAACCATAGGGCTATCTAATAAACACTCTCATTCTTGATCCTAATAGGAAAGGCTTTATGACCTTCTTGTAAAATGATGCATTTACAGATAGGGTCCAGTTATGATATTGTACAGAAATTTCGCACATGACTAGAACGCGACTACAATCTTGATTTTAATCTTCCAATTTTCACGCAATGTTTGCAAGAAAAAAATGAGGAACTAATCTAGCGGGTGTATGTAAACAAAGCCCGTCTAATGCCCAAATTATAACTGGACCAAATGTCATTATATGTTTATATACCCAACTGCAACCAGTAACCCGAAATTTCGCACATGACAGAAGCCCGTCTCATTCATGTTCTGTACCAAATGTCTAAAATTACAAAGATATGATTATATGTTTTAATTCTAAAACTCAAGTCAATAAACTGCTTTTGTTTGGTTTTGTAAAAAAAATAAGTAAGAACCATAAGTTGTGTAAAAAAAAAACAAAATCGAATAGACCAAAAAAAACATCTGTTCGCACATGACAGAAGCTCGTCTCATTCTTGTTCTGTACCAAATGTCTAAAATTACAAAGATATGATTATACGTTTTAATTCTAAAACTCAAGTCAATAAACTGCTTTTGTTTGGTTTTGTAAAAAAAATAAGTAAGAACCATAAGTTGTGTAAAAAAAACAAAATCGAATAGACCAAAAAAACATCTGGGATTGATTTAGAAGAGACCAGCTCATTGAAATTCATCTGGGATTGATTTAGAAGAGACCAAAAAAAACAAAATCAAAATTAAAACATATATTTAAACATTGCATGTAAAAACTATACCTATATACGTTTCAATCGGCTGGAGCAGGGGCAACGGCCACGGCGGCGGCAGGACAGTGGCGATGGCACGACGGCGGCGACGGGATGCAGGTATCGGCCTCTCTAACTCTTCTTTGCTCTCTCGTTTCGCTTCTTCCCGCCGTTGTCTGTATAGTTCTTCATATGGGGGAAGTTTGAAATCCCCGAATCTAATATTTTTTTATTTTTTATTTTTTTTTTGAAAATACTCACCAAAACGACGTCGTTTTGGTGAGTTTCATTCTCAACCGTCCGATCAGGCACTTTAGGAGATCACTTTAGAGGATTAACTCTAGAGGATCCTTACGCGTAGCGAATTAGGCCCATGGGTTAGATGCAAATTATTGACTTTTGATTAGTGTGAGTTTGTATATATTAAACTAGCAGTCGAGGACAAACACGTTGCGTCTGTAAATTTAGAAAAAGTTATATTAGCTTGGTTTGGGAAGTGAGTTAGTTTTTTTAGTTTTTTGGCTTTTTTGATTATTTTAGCCTGGGCTAAAAAGCTTGGTTTGTGAAAGGTTTTTTGAATTTTTTGTGAGAGAAGAATGTAATGATTATGGGTTGGATGTGATGTTTTGTTTGTTATGGCTAAAATAACCTATTTTATTTTTTGTGGCTAAAATAGTCCCAAACCTATCCAAACCCACATGCCAAACCATGCCATTATGTTATATTTTTTTTAATAATATATATGTATCATGAGTATAATATAATGTATTGTAATATAAAAAAGTTATATTAGCTTGGTTTGGGAAGTGAGTTGGTTTTTTTAGTTTTTTGGCTTTTTTGGTTATTTTAGCCTGGGCTAAAAAGCTTGGTTTGTGAAAAGTTTTTTGACTTTTTTGTGAGAGAAGAGTGTAATGATTATGGGTTGGATGTGATGTTTTGTTTGTTATGGCTAAAATAACCTATTTTATTTTTTGTGGCTAAAATAGTCCCAAACCTATCCAAACCCACATGCCAAACCATGCCATTATGTTATATTTTTTTTAATAATATATATGTATCATGAGTATAATATAATGTATTGTAATATAACATTTGATTTTAATATATTTCATAAATAAAATATGTACAACATGATATATACAAATCTTAAAAAAAAAAACAATACAATATGAATTCATAAGCTGCAGTTTTTTACATCACACACACATATATATATATATACACATTATGTGGTAAAGCAAGTTGAAAAAAATTGTCCCCAATAGCACAATGTGGCAAAGCAGCTTGAAATTTTTTTTATAATAATAATGAACAAAATTAAATTATAAAAATAAAAAATAAACAATCACTGAGATGTGATTTTATATATATAAATAAATAATCAATAAGATGTGCTCTTAAATTTAAATTTTGAAAAGATTGGCCAAGAAGAATGATATTACTTAACAGAATTTATAGTAAAAAAATAAATAAATAAACAAAATTTTCTATAATTGAGAATATAATAAATTCAAGACTCTTAAACAACTAAAGAATTTATACGAAAGAAAATAAACAAATTCAAAACTTTTAAACAATTATAGAATTTTTTTTTTAAAAAAAATAGAATTTATACCCAAAAAAACTTAAAAATAATAAACAATCATTGAGAATATTTAAAACATAAATAAACCTATTAATTCTAATTATTTTTTTTTTAAACAGAATTTGTAGTTTAGAATAATAATGAACAAAAATTTATATGAAAAAAAATTACTAAACAAAAATTTCAATCGCTGAGAATATAAAAATTAATGAATTTTAGATCATTTACCTTCGAAGAGGAATAATAATCTTGTTTGTATGCCATAATTGTTAAAAAAAAACTAATAATGTAAAAAATTCATAAAAAGAGTTCAAGAGAAGAAGAATTGGTTCATCATAATTTTTATGATACATCATAATAAAGTAATAAAATTTTTTAAAAAAAATTGAGCAAAATTGAAGAAAAAAGTTTCAGTTAAAAAGAAATTGAAAGAGAACTGGAGGAAGGAAAAATTTTTTTTACAGTACTCAATTCATATTCTACATACTAATAATATAAAAAAATTATATAAAAAAAAGGGAAATGTTTGAGAACTCGAAAATGTTTTCCCCTAATCCCCCGAAATTTAGAAATGACGTCGTTTCTAACACTTTCTTTATCAGACTTCTTTATCAGACTCCAAAACCCATCTCTGGCTACGCGCTACTCACTCTCTCCTCAGCTTCGAGCATCCTCTCTCCAGTCGACTCCATTGGAGCCCTTAATCCTCTCATCTTTCTCTACTCACTCTCTCTCCGAGCCCTTAATCACTTCCAAATCCTCTCATCAGCTACGGGTGTGGACTCGCATAACAGATCTACTCATCAGCTACAGGTGTGGAGTCGCAGATCTGTGGACTCGCAGATCTTCTCTTCAACTACGGGTGTGGACTCGCAGATCTTCTCTTCAGCTACGGGTATGGACTCCCAGATCTTCTCTTCAACTAGAGTTTGTGTTTATATGTTATGTTGATTTCTGATTCTTATGATTGTTATGTAATTAATTTTAGGGTTTTCTTCTCTTCAATTAATTTTAGGGTTTTGGTTTTGTGTTGAATTCGTAGATGTTATGTTGATTTCTGATTGTTATGATTGTTATGTAATGCCCAATTTGTGATATTATTAGGGTTTTGGTGTAAATAATTGTTGTTGATAAGTCCTGCACAGTGTGATATTTATTAGGGTTTTGGTTTTATTGCCCAATTTCTGATTGTTATGGGGTAAATATTCTGTTTAAATGCATTTTGTGATATGTGGTATGGAATGTATTAAACAGAATGTATATAGGTTTGAAAGGAAACCGAAAAGAGTAGAACAGGTTCAATAATGTATAAGAATGTATGAAATAGCATGAATTCCATCTACTTAATTTTGATATTTGGTATGAAATAGCAACAATCCCCCAAACCCAATTTTGTAACTATTTTCATTCTGTTAAGACTCAGATTCAGATTTGAACATGTTCTGAGTTAAGCATTTGATTCATTTTTTGTATCAAATGATTAGCTATTACTTCTATCTATTTACAAATTATATTGGTCTATATGCATATTTGATTTGTGGGTTTGTATTTTTTTTTTTTTTTTGAGCAATTCAAACATGGGTTTTACTATATCATTAAGTGTTTCATGAGATGATCTGGATTTGGTTTAGGAATAATAATTGCTACCACAAGAAATTTTAAATGGGTCTTCAAAGAGGAGATTAACTGGATTGGCATGTGAATCTGGGTTTGATTATTGGTTATCTCTGGTGTGAAGTTTCAAGACTCATTGGTGTTTTCTTCCAAATTCTGATATTGGGATGGGTTGTCGGTGCTCTAAACTCAGTGCATGTTGTTGGGTTTCGGAACCAAACGGGCCAATTCATGAGGCAACGAAAGTTGATTTTGAGGTTTGGACATAGCAGTGCCTTTGGAAATGTTTGTTTTAGACACTGCAATTTTCTTTGGATTGAATTCAATTCATATGGGTTTTGCATTCAATTCATATGAATTTTGGAAAACTAAATATAAATTTTGGACATAGCTTTGTATGTATCTTGTCTGTGTTTTCCATTCTGTATGCAGATTACAAAATGGCTTGTTCCTCTAGTAACAATAGCAACATAAGATTGAAACGAAGATTGTGCGATTGTGGGATAACAGCTGCCAGGCACACTGTCAAGTCAAATCAGAATGGAAATAAAGGCCGTGTGTACTTTGTGTGTCCATCGAAATATGTAAGCAGTATGGAAATTTGTTTGGAAATTTATTAGCCTCATTTGATTAACTGATTGTCATGCATTGTAGGTTAGTGAGGAACACTGCAATTACTTCAAGTTTGCAGATGATAATGATGACGACGAGATCTTCAATGCTACACCTCGTACATCTATAAGAAGCGAAGAATTTAACGATCGAAGCACAAGGGTTTATGAGATGGATAATGAATTTGAGGAGCATGGTAGAAGACTTCGAAGGGTGGAGATGAAATTGAATGTGATGCTTTGTGTCATTGTATTTTGTATTATTTTCTATTTTATAATGTAAATTACTAAGTTGATAGCTTTTAGGGAATTTGATGGATGTAGTTATGGACTTAATGGACTTGATGCTTTATGTCATTGGCTTTGGATCTTGATTTTGTATCTCACTTTTGCCTTTGGATCTTGGTTGATGTTATATAATCATTCGGTTGGATGTAATATGTGTGTGTTTAATCCGTGTGTGTGTTTAATCTGTACGAGGTTGGGATGATTCACCTTAGGTGTGTTTAATCTGTGTATGTGTTGGATGACATTTGGTGACAGGTTGGGATGTAATATGTGTGTGTGTTTAATCTGTTCACCAGGTTGGGATGTAGGAAGAAGAACTTTTAACTGCCTGCTTGGTTTGTGAATGGCAAATTTGTTCACCAAATTGGTTTGTGAATGGCAAATTTGTTCACCAAATTGGTTTGTGAATGGCAAATTTGTTCACCAAATTGGTTTGTGAATGGCAAATTTGTTCACCAAATTGGTTTGTGAATGGCAAATTTGTTCACCAAATTGGTTTGTGAATGGCAAATTTGTTCACCAAATTGGTTTGTGAATGGCAAATTTGTTCACCAAATTGGTTTGTGAATGGCAAATTTGTTCACCAAATTGGTTTGTGAATGGCAAATTTGTTCACCAAATTGGTTTGTGAATGGCAAATTTGTTCACCAAATTGGTTTGTGAATGGCAAATTTGTTCACCAAATTGGTTTGTGAATGGCAAATTTGTTCACCAAATTGGTTTGTGAATGGCAAATTTGTTCACCAAATTGGTTTGTGAATGGCAAATTTGTTCACCAAATTGGTTTGTGAATGGCAAATTTGTTCACCAAATTGGTTTGTGAATGGCAAATTTGTTCACCAAATTGGTTTGTGAATGGCAAATTTGTTCACCAAATTGGTTTGTGAATGGCAAATTTGTTCACCAAATTGGTTTGTGAATGGCAAATTTGTTCACCAAATTGGTTTGTGAATGGCAAATTTGTTCACCAAATTGGTTTGTGAATGGCAAATTTGTTCACCAAATTGGTTTGTGAATGGCAAATTTGTTCACCAAATTGGTTTGTGAATGGCAAATTTGTTCACCAAATTGGTTTGTGAATGGCAAATTTGTTCACCAAATTGGTTTGTGAATGGCAAATTTGTTCACCAAATTGGTTTGTGAATGGCAAATTTGTTCACCAAATTGGTTTGTGAATGGCAAATTTGTTCACCAAATTGGTTTGTGAATGGCAAATTTGTTCACCAAATTGGTTTGTGAATGGCAAATTTGTTCACCAAATTGGTTTGTGAATGGCAAATTTGTTCACTAATTTGAAACTGGTGTAGACGTCCCCGAACGCCCCGGGAGGAACGTGCTCCCGTTCTGTTCATTTGGGGTCACTACAGCTCAGGACTCTCAAATTGTCACGGTTCTAAGTCTGAACCAAAGAGTCCAAATCCGGCAAATCGTTTTGAGAAAATAGATTTTTGAAAGAAGTGCCAAACATGGACTGCTTTGCTAGATACAGAGTCGCCACCTAAATATTTTGTTTTGGGAAATTTAGGAAACCCTGACTCGCGGCCTTTCCCTAAAAGTTATCAACTTAGTAATTTACATTATAAAATAGAAAATAATACAAAATACAATGACATAAAGCATCACATTCAATTTCATCTCCACCCTTCGAAGCCTTCTACCATGCTCCTCAAATTCATTATCCATCTCATAAACCCTTGTGCTTCGATCGTTAAATTCTTCGCTTCTTATAGATGTACGAGGTGTAGCATTGAAGATCTCATCGTCATCATTATCATCTGCAAACTTGAAGTAATTGCAGTGTTCCTCACTAACCTACAATGCATGACAATCAGTTAATCAAATGAGGCTAATAAATTTCCAAACAAATTTCCATACTGCTTACATATTTCGATGGACACACAAAGTACACACGGCCTTTATTTCCATTCTGATTTGACTTGACAGTGTGCCTGGCAGCTGTTATCCCACAATCGCACAATCTTCGTTTCAATCTTACGTTGCTATTGTTACTAGAGGAACAAGCCATTTTGTAATCTGCATACAGAATGGAAAACACAGACATGATACATACAAAGCTATGTCCAAAATTTATATTTAGTTTTTCAAAATTCATATGAATTGAATGCAAAACCCATATGAATTGAATTCAATCCAAAGAAAATTGCAGTGTCTAAAACAAACATTTCCAAAGGCACTGCTATGTCCAAACCTCAAAATCAACTTTCGTTGCCTCATGAATTGGCCCGTTTGGTTCCGAAACCCAACAACATGCACTGAGTTTAGAGCACCGACAACCCATCCCAATATCAGAATTTGGAAGAAAACACCAATGAGTCTTGAAACTTCACACCAGAGATAACCAACAATCAAACCCAGATTCACATGCCAATCCAGTTAATCTCCTCTTTGAAGACCCATTTAAAATTTATTGTGGTAGCAATTATTATTCCTAAACCAAATCCAGATCATCTCATGAAACACTTAATGATATAGTAAAACCCATGTTTGAATTGCTCTCAAAAAAAAAATAAAAAAATACAAACCCACAAATCAAATATGCATATAGACCAATATAATTTGTAAATAGATAGAAGTAATAGCTAATCATTTGATACAAAAAATGAATCAAATGCTTAACTCAGAACATGTTCAAATCTGAATCTGAGTCTTAACAGAATGAAAATAGTTACAAAATTGGGTTTGGGGGATTGTTGCTATTTCATACCAAATATCAAAATTAAGTAGATGGAATTCATGCTATTTCATACATTCTTATACATTATTGAACCTGTTCTACTCTTTTCGGTTTCCTTTCAAACCTATATACATTATGTTTAATACATTCCATAGTGTTTGGACATTCTGTGTTGTGTCACAAAATTCTGTGTGCAGCTTAGAATGAATGTGAATTCAAATTTGTTGGTTTGTGAATGGCAAATTTGTTCACAAATTTGAAGCTGGTTGATGCAATTGAACATTCAAAAACTTAGGTGTAAGAATGTTTGTCTATGCTGATCAGAGATAAATGCACACATTACAAGCATGACCAAAAGTTGAGAGGAATTATGAAGAAGAGGTCTCAATGACAAATTCCATCTGAAAAAGAGAAGGTCAAGTTAATTTATTTTAAACTTAAATGTTGGTTTTGCTCAAAATTATGGTTATCAAAATAAATGTGTTGAGAAACCTGCTAAGTTTGACTGTGTGGACATAAACAAGAAAGGAAAAATACACCTTACTTGATGTGAACCAGTATAAGAACAACTATCAGTTTCCGTGTCACCAACTGACCCCTTGAAGAGCTCCAAAATCAATTTAGGCAAACCAACAAATTACAATTCACATTCTGGATATAATTCATATTTGCCATTCACAAACCAACAAATTTGATTTCACATTCATTCTAAACTGCACACAGAATTTTGTGACACAACACAGAATGTCGAAACACAGAATTTGTCACATTCATTCTGCTCCTTTCAAAACAGGTTCACGAAAAAAAATACAGATCTTCCAGAATCTGTTAAAACCTGTTAAAACCTGTCCAAAAGTTCAGAATCTGTTTCGTACATGTCCAAAAATACAGATCTAACCTGTCCAAAAATTCAGATCATACAGATCTGTTCAAACTTGTTACAACCTGTCCAAAAATACAGATCATACAGATCTGTTAAAACCTGTTAACATTCATTCCAGAATCTGTCCAAAAATTCACATTCAAATCTGTAAAAACCTGTTAACAGAATCTGTTTGAACATACAGATCTTCACAGAATCTGTTTGAACATACTGATCTTGACATAATTTGTTTGAATATAAATACATTCTACAGAACCTGTTTGAACAGAATCTGCTGTTCAGAATCAAATATAACCTGTTAAAAACATACAGAACCTGTTTCAATATAACTTCTTCAAAATATAATCTGTTCAGCATGTGTTAAGAAAAACCAGTTCAAAAAATAAAATATCTGTTCAGCATGTGTTACAAATTCCATACTACGAAACTAAAAAAAAAATTGAGCATTTGGATCCACATCTATATTGAAGTCGACAAAAGTTGAACCATCTATATTCGCCATTCCTGATTCACTCAAAGATGAGCTTCCAACTTTGTCCACCATTTGCAATGCGCTCTCTTGTGTCCCGTCCATACAAGGAAAATAGTAGGATTGAGCTTCCGACACCTTATGATACATTAGCCTGTTCCCAAACAAAATATCATTAATAAGTTCAAACATTTAAATAAATACCATACAAAACCAATTGAGTGGACCATGAAACACATACCTGATCGTACATATTATTTTCCATTCCATCCGTACAACCGAAATTCAACTTACGAGGTTCACATTGACCCATCTTACGACCCTATAGTAACACACATTGGTGACAAAGTTAGACAAAAAGAAATTCAGAAATTTACATATAAGCAAAAAATTAAAAAATATACCTGCACTTTTGTTGCCTTTTTATTCTTTCCCTTTAACCGATTCACTATTTCGTCCACCTTTCTCACATTCCATTTCGTACATGGACGGCCTCTTCGGCGAGCAACCAAAGGACTAAGCACCTTGCGAGTAGTACTACAAGGTGGCACATTACTGCTACAAGGTGGGACAGTACTACTAGAAGGTGGCACATTACTCGCACAACGAGATTCATCTTTTCTTACTCTTTCCTTGATTTCTCTCAACCCAAGTTGAATGGCTTTGTGTTTACCATTATCGTTGGAAGCAATTTCTATAATTTCATCCAATGTCTTGTGGTAGTTCTCATGTACCTTTACATTGAGGGCAGCCCCGGATTTCGTGTATGTTGTTGGAATACATGTGTACCCTATTTCCAAATCTTTTCTCCATCTCGACATAATGTCCTTATTAGGAACCTCATATATGCTCCTCTCAATGAGCACACTAAGGGAATGGGCACACATGATCCCCCTAAACTCAAACCACCGACACACACATTGTATTTCAAATTCAGTTGAATTAAAGTAAACAAGAAATTCAACTTTCTTCATTTTCTCACCCACAAGCACAGCTTCCTTGACATGATAGGTACAAATGGATCCCTCCTCCTTCACAAGATTCGCATGATAATATAGTAGTCGCTTCAATTCTACTTGAACTTCTTTAAATTTCGCATTTGTGTAGGCTGCACGAAATTGCTTCTCAAACTCATACACCGTTAAACAATCATACAATCTGTCACGAGATTTGAAGTCTGCTTTGGTCTCCTTCTCCACCTTACTTCTCAATGCATTGTCGTACTATTCAACAAATTGCTTTAAAGTAGTCTTTGAGTTGACATAGCCATCAAAAAACACATTCATGCTCTTACTTCATTGTGTAGTTGACATGCCAGCCCAAAATATATCTTTCACATAGGCAGGAATCCACCTATGTCACTCAGCATATAATACTCCCAACCACTCGTTGTCATGGAGGCTAAACTTTTCAATCATCGTTTGCCATTCCTCATCAAATTCATTTTTTCTGAAAGAATCATAGACTGCACTTTGTAAAGCGAATTTGATGGCTTCATATTGGGAATATCCTCTCAATTTCTCGGAAATTTTCTTCATTACATGCCATAAACACCAACGATGTTGAGCCTCTGGGAAGACAATCTGTATGGCATTTTGCATGGCTCTGCACTGGTCAGTTATAATAGCATTTGGAGGAGTGGCTGACATACAATTCAACCATTCTTTGAATAGCCAAACAAAAGTGTCCGTGTTCTCATTAGATAATAGCCCACAACCAAACAAGATTGACTGTCCATGGTGATTAACTCCTACAAACGGAGCAAACGGCATATCATACTTGTTTGTAAGATAGGTCGTGTCAAATGAGACAACATCCCCAAATGCTTTATAAGCCACCCTACTCCTTGCATCCACCCAAAACAAGTTTCGGATGCGACCATCTACATCAAAGTCAATTCCAGAGTAGAAGTTTGAATTTTCTTGTTGCATCCTATGAAAATAAAATGCAATTGATTCGACGTCTCCTACCCCAAGCCTCAATCTTCTAGCATTTTCAATGTGGTTCCTTACATCTCGTTCATCAAATGTTAATGCCTCATATCCCCCCGCTTCAACAACTATAGAATGAAAATTCCTAGATACCCCTATTCCTGCTTCATCATTTATTTCTAATCTTCTCTTCACAGGAGTACGAATCCTCTTATTCATTGGAAAATGGCGTGAGTCGCTAGGAATTAAATCATGCGTATGGTCAAGCACAACTGTAGTTAACTTATATCTTCCATCCGGTTGTAAAATCGCTCTTATCCTAGCTTTACAATTAATTTTTGATGACAAAGATGGTTTCAGGGGGTTTACTTCTGATCTTTTTGTCCTCTTCTGCGCCCGAGTACATTTAATTCCAAAGTATTTCACCTTTCCATTCGATCTAACATTCTGTGTTCTGTAAGCTATAGCAAATCCAAGGTTTTTAGCATATTTTGCATAAAACTCGTGAGCTTCTTGCTTTGAGGTAAACCACATCCCCTTCTTAGGTTCTTCAATTTCGTCACTCTCATTTAATGAAGGATTGTTCTCTGCTTCCTCAACTTCCTCACCCCCACTCAATGTAGGATGGTTTGAATCAATGTCCATTGTACCTTCAAACTCAAATGCGAAGTGTGAAACAGTTTGTATACATCACATAAATTATGTTCATACAGGTTCTGTTCATAAATTATGGTTATGTTCATATAGGTTCTGTTCATACACAAATTATGTTCATCAAACTCAAATGCAAAGTGTGAAACAGTTTGTCCAAAACAGGTTTTGTTCATACAAAAAACTTATGCATAATGACTTAACTGGGTTTTGAACCTATCACTTAGAACAAAGAGCGCATTGAGACACATTTAATTACAGAAATGGATAATACCCTTGGACAAGAAACAGAATGAACTAGGTTAGTCCACAAAAATGGATTTCTTGATTGTCTTTGGACAATTAGATGAACAGCACAGAAATTCTGAAATCGACAAATTCATTTTTGTAAAATCCACAAAAAGATGAATAGCACAGAAATTCAGAATGAACTAGGTTAGTCCACAAATTCAGAAATCCATTTGTGGATAATACCATTTTTGAACTAGGTTTCTATAAACATAATTTTGGAGTCTGATAATATCTAGCTGATTTATACATAATTCCCTCTCCGGTCGAGTTCTCAAACATTTCCCTCTATAAAATTATGTATAAATCAACTAGGTTTCTATAAAATTATGTACAAAGATTACCACTACTAAATCAATAAATACATTACTAACAAAACAGCAGCATTCTATGAACTAGGTTTCAGAAGAAGAAACAGAGACATACCCTTGGACAAGAAACAGAATGAAGAAGAAGAAACAGAGGCCTCAGAAGAAGAAACGCCGAACACAGTCACTTCGGCAGAGTTTTTTGCTGGTCGTCGGTGGTCACCCAGGTCGGTGGTCGATCTCAGTGGTATTCTTCTTCGACGGGCTCCTCTTTCTCTCCTCTCCTCTTTTTTCTTCTTCTATTTCGCGCGTGGTGTTGGTAGATTGACAGTGATCTCAAAACTCACCTTTATCAATTTCGGGGGATTCGGGGGGTAAGTTTTCGAGCGACGTAGTGGAACTGTAAAAAAAAATACCAAATAATGATAATTTTTATACTTTTGCTTGAAGCATAACAGAACGGAGGAACACGTGGGATGAAAAAACAAACTTGACTTCCGCCATTGACGTTAAAGCCCAACTTCATAGTCAAACCACCACAAACTACTGTTCAATTAAATCATTATCACAAAATTGACACCAATTGTAAATAAATAAATATTCGGAAAATTAAATGTTCTAAAAATGTTATTGACGATGATTTTACCTGGGAGAAGAAAATGAGAATTCCATGAAGTGTAATATGAAGGACACATGGGATGCAAAGGTGTTTGTCGGGGGTGAAAGGGTGGAAACAGTTAGAAAAGGAGAATCAGATTGGTTGGGATGAAAACGTGGGAGTGAAAGTCTAGAGTTGTGCAGGGTGAGATATGTGAGGGAACGTGAGGTAGTAAAAGCTTCAAGAGTCTAAATTAGGGTTTCATTAAGATAATAGTATAAATTTTGTTTGGTATACATTATTTTCTTAATCATGCGGTTAGTTTATTTGTATATATTAAGTGAAACCCTAATTTAGTGGGACTCACTTCACAAATTTAATTTAAAAAAATTGTCACAAAGCACAAATTTAATGGGACTCACTTCACTTTTAAATTTTTTTTCTTTGGTGAGACTTTTTCATATTAAAAATATTTAATCTTTTGAACATGTTTATGCTTGAGAATTATTTGTAATATTTGGAGAAGAAAAAAGTCAAGAATTATTGAAATATGTGGGATAAATTTGGATTTTGTTTGTTAGTTTGATACAAATCTTTTGATAAATTCAAAAGAATTTAAAAAACAGAAATGATAGAGACTCTTTTTTTCCTTAACCTCTACAACCTCCACAAACAGGTGTCAGTGGGTAATAGAAGGAAAAAAAAACAAAAAATAAAAAATTAGCCAATTTCAATACATTAAGAGTAGTGGGGTCAAAGAAAAAGGATTCTCCACCCATTTCCTTTAAAAAATTGAAATCATAATATTCTATAAACTGAGTGGATGGCCCTAGCGTACTCCAAACCATAGTCTAAGTCCGCGATTACAATCGTTACACTTCATTAGAAAGTCAAATGTTCCAACATTTTTTTTATTTTTATTTTTTTATTTTTTAAGGAAGAACACAGCATGAACATATAAAAACAAAAGTTATACAACGTGCATGGTCAGCCAGTAACCTGGCATTACAAAGCTTCTCCTAGGAACCTTGATAATCCTGAAGTAATCAAAAGAACTAGACATACATCTAATATCGTCAACATTTCTTTTTATTTGTGAATTTTGATGTATAAAAAGAAAAAATACAATGAACTTGTAATTGACGCTTAAAACTCAGTTCTATTAAGCTAAATCTGTGTTTATAAATATTAATCTGGGACAATTAAAAAAAAAAAAAAAAACAGAATTTGAACTTACTAACAAAATAAATTCTGAATTTTTATTGTTAAATTTCTTAATCATGTAATTAGTTTTATTAAATATGTTTAAAATATTTAAGGTTTTGAACATGTTTATATTTGAGAATTATTTGTAATGTTCGCGAAAAATTGAAGAATTATTGAAATATGTGGGATAAATTTGGATTTTTAACCCAACAAGAAAATTCTTTTTCCATGATTTGCTTTTTCCTTTCCACCAGCTGCCTGAAAGAAAATTCTTCCCTGGGAAAATAATGAGGAATGCATAACAAGCTCAACACAAAATTAACATGCATATTACATGAAACCACATATAAATTATGCGAGTGGGAGAGATGAATTCACTAATATCAGAGGTTGAAGAAGCCAAGAACATTGAATTATTTACTCCAAGGACAACATTATTTCTGCAATTTATGATGAATAATACACTGCTTTGCTTGTTTCATAGGCAAATAAAACTACATTCGGATAACAATTGCTCAGCCTTTTCTTTTATTTCTTTCATGTAAAAATAAGTAAAAAAAATTACAACTTTTCATTTTCGTGTGTTTGTGATCCTCCTGGTATGTAAAAAGCCGAGCCAGTTAGAAAAGGTAATGCTCCGGGCTGTGAGGTATATGATAAATGCAAGGTATGCAGCTGTAAAAGCAGATACGACGGAGCTTAGTAACCACCCATTTACTTCGGAATAGAAAAATTCCAGCAAAAGATAACCGTTGATCACTATCACCAAGGCGGCCACGAGCCATGAAACCATCTACCAATAAAAAAGAAGAAAAAAATAAAGAGTGAATCCACAAAGTCATTCTCAGTTGAAAACTCAAGCTAGCATTCAAGTCAAGGGGGCCGGAAAAAATATTTCTTTATTTATTTTCACTTTGTGCTTTATAAGAACTATGAATTGCAACACAATCAAGGAACAATAGTAAAACAGACCCTGTATATAACAATGGCAAATAGAGAGAGAAATATACAAGCAGTGATTTAATCAACCATTGTTTCCGTGTGTGTGTGTTTTGCTTGTATTCTAAGCTAAAAGTTGATAATCTGCATGCAAGTAGAATCTACAAACACCTTCTACCAGGATAATCACCTTATTTAAGTTACTCTTACCGCATAAGCTACTATAACAAACGGCCTGACACAAATTAAAAAAAAAATTTAAAAATCATAAGCAGCCCATTTAATCTGCAGCAAATAGCACCAAGTAGATACCATATCAACTTCAATCTTCCTACTCGAAAACAAAGAAAGTCAATATAAATTGTTAGGAAATATGTCTGAATATTTCACATCCTTATACTGTGTTTGGTTGGGAAATTTAGGGAGGGATTTGGAAAGGGAAAGGGAAAAGGTGTGTGAAACTATGTGAAATATAGGCATGATTTATTCACATTCACCTACCTTTTCCATTTCCTTTTCCAAATCCCTTCTCAAATCCCCCAACCAAACACAATATTAATGTTTATCCAAGGAATGATTCGTCTATCATTTTACCATTGCTAACAACAAAAGCAACATCAATGGAACACCAAACTTTTGAAGATATAAAATCACCAAAAAATAGAGATTGATCAACCTCACCAATAAATGCACCATCTATGCAAAAAGTCTATGTACTACATCAGTAGCAATGGAAGGCTTACAAACACATGGAAAATCAACTCATTCATTGACAATTAATAATTTAGAGAAATTAGCAGACAAATTCAGAAGAAGATATTGATATAGTCCGAAGGATTACATTTTCAAATTGTTTCAATATCAATATTTTCCAGAAACTTTTTAATTGAATAAAGCTACAACCTAATCATTGTAATCTTTTTTGAAATGAATATTTGTCTCTTTTAGTCCACTAATTATAAGTAACAAATTCAAGATGATCTCGATGTAACAAGAATATGACATGAGAGGAGTTATTAACAAATGTTGTTAAAAACACCATTGTGATGATCATAAATGTATGGGCAAAAAGACAATACAGCATTTTAAACACAATAGTAGAGAGAGAGAGAGAGAGAGTAAAAATGTACCTTGAGGACCGGGCCAATTTTGAAAATACCCATGGCCTCCTCTTTGGATACCAAACAAAGAAGCGGAATAAGTGCAAAAGGGATCTGAACCGACTGAAGCACATTAAGCCATTCATTGAGAACATCTAACGAGTCCTCAGAGATATCAGAAGCAAGAGCAACAATCATAATTGGGATAATAGCACAACTTCTCGTTATCAAAGCCCTAAACCATTTCTTCAACCTCAAATTTAGAAAGCCTCCCATAATAAACTGCCCAGCATAAGTACCTGTGAGCGTGCTACTTTGGCCAGCTGCTAATAACCCAATACCCCAAATATACAGAATTGGGAGTATCCCTCCCCCGTACTTCTCTTGAAGGTACTGTCCCGCATTTACGAGCCCAATACTATTGGCTATGTCGGTACCATAAAATGCTTTGGCAAACACGGCAGTAAGAAATAGATTGATCATGAAAGAGATTGTGAAGGCAACAGTGGACTCTATGGAGTAGTAGTTTAGGGCTTCTTGAACACCGCCAGTCTTGCTCCGGTCAATCTCTCTTGATTGTACAAGAGCAGAGTGCAAAAACATGTTGTGAGGCATAATAATGCAACCCACAACACCCACTGCCTGTTGTATTGTTTTAGAGCTAAGTTTTGGAATTAAAAGACCTGCAAGGAGATCCAATTGTTAGTGATTTAGAATCAGAGAAGTTAAGGAAGGGTACATTGGTATTGTTTTCAGTTTTTGTAATGAAATTGATACGGAAAACTATTTCCAAAAATTGTCTTCGAGAAACTTTTCTAAGAATACCTTTTTTTTTTTCAAGAAGGCAAATGCTAATGAGTGTCCTCAGGCATTGTTTAGTGTTGGAATTGGAGTCAAAGTGTATGAGAAAAATGTGAAATGTCAAAAAATGTTTTGAATTCAGTAAAAAAAAAATTGATTTTAATAAAAAGTGTCTCATATTCTTTTCTTTTTTTTTCTTTTTTTTTTTGTCATTTTCTTGCGCCCGGACAAGGCCTTTATGAAATACCTTGAAATTGTTTATAAAATTTTCAAAAATTGTTTGGCATTAAAATGAAAATGATAAGTGAACTTTTCATAGTTTTAAGAACATCAAAAATGAAAACAACAGTTTTGAAAATGATACCAAAGCATGTCAATCCAAAATAAAAGATTGGTTAGACATTAAAAAAATTGTAAATTTGAAAAAATAAAATATTCTCACCAAGAAGAAGTTCTACTCCATTGGGCTCTGTTTCACCAAACATCCAAGCAAATGACAATGCCATCGTTGCAATAAGAGCCGCAAAAACTGATTCCAGTTTCCTCACACCATAGTTCTCAAGAAATAGAAAAATGAAACTGTAAAGATAAAATGGACTCAAATTGGTAAAACAATTAATATGAACTAATATAGTTTATTTTTATTTTTATTTTTTTTTGAAAAAAAAAAACCTCAACTTAGTTTCGTTGTAAAACCAACAGTATGAAGCATAACAAAACCAAACTTCGTTGTTTATTCTCTCTCTCTCTCTCCCAAACACACACACTGATTGATACATTCATTTTCTTGGAGCATCTCCCTAGTTTACTTAAATTTTACCTTAAAATATTATTAAAATATTCATTCTCTATTTTAAGAATTATTTTTTCATTTATTTCTTCTAACAGACTCTCTATTTTTTCTTTATTCTATTAACAAACTCTCTATTTTTTCTTTATTTTATTAAAATATAATTTTTAATTATAAATTTTAAAAAAATAACAATCATAAATGTCTATTGCAGTCCCTAACAAAGCAAAGCAAAAAAAAAAATATACATATAGCAAAAACTAATTTTAAAAATTATTTAAAGAAGTTGATGCAGGTGTATAAAAAGTCATTTACTCCTTAAAATAGGTAAGGAGGAGCTTTAGGGCATCTGGTGAGGATGCTCTTACCAACCAAACACAGAGTTATGTAATATTTCATTTATTAAAAAGTAAAAATGAAATGGAATGTTTGGTTTGTGTTTGAGAGATGTGTTTTAGAGATAAAAAGTACGAAAAATTATTTGATTTGGTTTTTTTCAAAAGATGTTTTGAAAAATTATTTTGAGAAAAAGTTTTGGAAAAAGTGATTGATTTGATATGTGTAAGAGAGAGATTTGTTTGGAAAACTTGTTTGGTTTACAAGTTTTGAGAAATTTTTTTAAGAAAATTTATTTGGTTTGATTACTTTTAAAAACTTATTTGTAAAAAAAATTTCCCAAAATTTTTTCAGAAATACAAACCAAACGAACCCTACATGTTCAGCAAAGATGCCAAAATTCCTTGCAGATGAAAAGGCTCTCACCCATCAGCACAGTGCAACAAAGGCAGCCCTGCCTGCAACTGTGCAAATGCTTTGGATGGGCACATGACACAAATGCAATTCAAGCAGGCAGCACTGTTATATACATATCCAATTCTAGCTCACGAATGAAATATTGAAGATGTGTTCCTATCTATTGATCCAAACAATGCCTGAATAATAATCAAGAACTAGAATTGTGTGTGAGAGAGAGATTTGTTTGGAAAACTTGTTTGGTTTACAAGTTTTGAGAAAAATTTTTGAGAAAATTTATTTGGTTTGATTACTTTTAAAAACTTATTTGTAGAAAAAATTTCTCAAAATTTTTTCAGAAATACAAACCAAACGAACCCTTTGTTTTTGCTTTTGGTGTTTTAAGAAACAAAACAATGAAAAAATTGAAACTTTATGCAAAAACAGCTTTAAAAATAATAATAATAATAATAAGTCGAGGTTTTTAAAAAGTATAGGGCAAATTATACTGAACTCCCTGAAGTTACCATAATTACAGAGACTTTTTTTTGTAATTTCAAAAATAACATTATCCTTTCCTATTTTGAAAATAATATACAGATTTTCCATTCCCATTAAAAAAGCCTAAATGACGTTAACTAAACAGTAGAAGTAACCATAATACTTCTCTCATTCATTCTTATATATATATATAGAGAGAATACATATATATAAACACATACGTATCTTATATATATATATATATATATCACTGTATCCATTCCATCTCTTTTCCCTCACTCTCTCTGTGCTCTCTCCCTCTCTTGCGATCGTTGCTGCCTCTCTGTCTCTCTCTATCTCTTTCTGCATGCATAGTTTAGCGATCTGGGTTGAGAGTGGTCCGGCGAGCTGGAGGCTAGGGAGGCGGAGCTCGCTGACTCGACTGTTGTATATGTATGTATGTATGTGTCTTGTGATCCCTGGAATCAACTCCGACACCATCTCTCTCTCTCTAGATATGTACATGTATGTATGTATATATGGGGGTTCAATCGACGATTAGGGTTTACAAAGATGAAGTTAGAAGCAGCGGGGGTGGCGATTTGATGAATCTGTGATCTGTTTTATATATATATATATATAGAGAGAGAGAGAGAGAGGGTCTTCTTGGCTTGGTGTGAGACTCTGGAGTAGAGAGCTTCAGTGAAGTAAAAACCCACTCTCTCAATTGGATCTCCATCTTCGCTCACCGATTCTTCAAAAAAAGAGCTCTAAGGGTGATTGCATAGCATTTTTCATTGGAGGAAGTGGCTGGTATAAAGGAAGCATTTGATGCAATGGACACCAACAAAAGAGGCAAGATAAACCTTGAGGAGCTTAGATTCGGGCTGCAAAAGCTTGGCCATCAGATCCTGATGCAGATCTTCAAATCCTAATGGAAGCTTGTTCTGTCTTTTGGAAGGAAAAGGCGGAGAGGGAGAGAGAGAGCTCTAAGGGTGATTGCATAGCATTTTTCATTGGAGGAAGTGGCTGGTATAAAGGAAGCATTTGATGCAACAGCAATGCTAGGTATCATGAAAAATCTTTCATGAAAATAATCATGAAAGCTTTGTGACCCTTGGATTACACTTAGAATAAAGCACCACACACTAATCAAGATAATCCAAAGATCATAAATTTTTCATGATCATTTTCATGAAAAAATTTTCATGATCCCTAACTTTTCCCTTGATGCAATGGACACCAACAAAAGAGGCAAGATAAACCTTGAGGAGCTTAGATTCGGGCTGCAAAAGCTTGGCCATCAGATCCTGATGCAGATCTTCAAATCCTAATGGAAGCTTGTTCTGTCTTTTGGAAGGAAAAGGCGGAGAGGGAGAGAGAGAGAATTAGATAATTTGAGAGAGAAGAGATTTGTAGAAACAAGGGGTTAGGAGAGAGAAAAGTCTCTACAAAAAGCTTTACTCTCTCTCTCATTCATGGCTTATTCACACCTTGAATTTACCTTTTTGCAGCCTTGTCCAGCAATCCTTTCAATTTTTTCCGTTAATTTAAGGTCTTGACCTTCAAACCAATCTGGGTCTTCTTCAGATTTTTGCTTATAACCCCCAAAAAGGAATACAGTATGGAATAGTTGGATTTTGATATGTATGTATTTATATATATAAATATGGGTATATATGGATGGTAACATAACAGCTATTTATATAGGGCTCGTTTGGAAAGTAGTTATTTTAGTTGGCTATTTTAGTTTTTGGCTATTTTAGTAGGTTAAAATTTTTGTGTTTGGAAAGATGATTGAATTTTTTTGTGGTTGGATGTGATGTTTGTGTGAGAAAAAATGAAATGATTATGGGTTTGATGTGATATTTTGTCTTATTAGCTAATTTAGCATATTTTGTCTTTTTGTGATTTTTAACCTAAACTAGGTTTTTTTTTTTCTCAACAATGATAGAGGGCCCTAATTTTTGTGGCTCAAATGGCTCGAATTTGTCAAAACGACGTCGTTTTGAGTACAAAACAACATCAAATTTGCCAAAACGACGTCGTTTTGACAAATTTGAGCCATTTAAGTCACAGAAATTAGGGCCCTCAAACATTTTCCTTTTTTTCTTCCCAAACACCCCCATAGTAAGGTCAAACTTGACAAGTTAAAAAAAAGTCAAAAAGTTATCACTATTCATCAAAAGTCAAAAAGTATGGCTGCACAACTCTCAATCTTAATTTTTCCATACATACTAATTTATACAATTTTTAATACACATTTTTGTCAAAAAGTTAACCCAAACAATTATATTTTTTTCCTCAACTTTTTAGTTTAAAAAGTCAAAAAGTGTATTTATTTAGGGCATCTCAAACAACCCTTGTTATTTTTAAAATTACAGGAGAAGTCACTGTAATTAAGATAAATCTCAAGAGAGGTTAGTATAATTTGTCCAAAAGTATATCCAAAAATTAATTTTAGAAACAGGATTATGTTTTAACAACTAACTCCAGTCTCCATCTTAGAAATAATTTTCTGTCCCCTCTTGAAGCATATTACAAGAATTGAAGAAAACAGAGAACAAAGAAAATTATCAAAACCAAAAACCCATAAAAACCTCCAAGTTAAAAATTTCCAAAATCAACCACACCAACATTGAAACATTTGTATCAAATTATTATTCACAGAGAAAGAGTTTTCATGAAATTACCTAAGTTTATGTTATTTTGTATTCAAGTTTTAAAACTATGGTAATATGCATGGCAGCTGACTCCATTTTAACAATTGACTCCATCTTAAAGATTATGAATTGAAGAAAACAGAGGACACAGAAAATTATCAAAATCAAAAACCCATCAAAACCTCCAAGTTGAAAATTTCCAAAATCAACCACACCAACATTGAAACATTTGTATCAAATTATTATCCACAGAGAAAGAGTTTTCATGAAATTACCTAGGTTTATGTTATTTTGTTTTCACGTTGTAAAACCATGGTAATATACATGTCAACTGACTTCATTTTAACAATTGACTCCATCTTAGAGATTATGAATTGAAGAAAACAGAGGACACAGAAAATTATCAAAACCAAAAACCCATAAAAACCTCCAAGTTGAAAATTTCCAAAATCAACCACACCAACATTGAAACATTTGTATCAAATTATTATTCACAGAGAAAGAGTTTTCATGAAATTACCTAAGTTTATGTTATTTTGTATTCAAAATGTAAAACCATGGTAATATGCATGTCAACTGACTCCATTTTAACAATTGACTCCATCTTAGAGATTATAAAGAAAACAGAGGACACAGAAAATTATCAAAACCAAAAACCCATCAAAACCTCCAAGTTGAAAATTTCCAATATCAACCACACCAACATTGAAACATTTGTATCAAATTATTATTCACAGAGAAAGGGTTTTCATGAAATTACCAATCACAAGCAGTGATAACAACACCACCCCAAAGAGGAGCAACCCCATTACTCAAAACCTTAATCGCAATCGCACTCCCAATCACTTGCTGAATATCCGCCCCAATCAGGGCAACCTCCGCCATCACCCACAACAACCACCGAGCCCATTTCGGGTACTCGTCTCTACACAGCTCTGCCAAGTGTTTACCCGTAGCCAAGCCGAGCCGCGCCGCCAACAGCTGAACTAGAAGCCCCATAGCCGTGGCCCACAAAAGGAGCCAAAGCAGAGAGTACCCAGCAATCGCGCCAGCTTGAATATCCCCCTGACCGTATTGTTTGAACCAGATAAGGAAATGGAGCAAGAGACGGCCAACGATGTCATGGTTGATGGAGTCCACGCCTTTGGAGGTGGATTTGGAGACGAGGGAAGCCATGTCCGAGATTTTCCCAATAAGAAACCAGAGTTTCGGACCATACACTCCTTGCTTTTCCATGATTTTCTTGATGCGTGTGATCGAGTAACAAGTTATAGTTTGACAAGCAACTGTAATAAACAGGATGAGAAACACAACTAGTAGAACCAACGACACCACTGTGGCCATCGTAAAGAGAGAGCGACAGAGAGAGAGAGAGGTGGATGGATGTAGCAGGTAGTAAACCTCAAAAGCGGCCAGTATATACTTATAATGCAAGTACGAACTTGCAAGCGCAATAGTGCCCACAAACTGCATTCAGCATGTTTGATTTGAGTTTTTTGAATGAAGGTTTTTGAAAATTAAATTTTTTCATTTTTGTGTTTTTTTATTTTTAGTGAATATTTTTTAAATTTTAAATATATTTTTTTTTAGATGCACTTTACTTAGATGTATTTAAAAAGTAAAAAATTTGTGAAAAAATATTTTAAAAATTAATAAATATATAAAAATATAAAAAATGTACTGAATTTTTGTATTTTTTTTTTATATTTTGGGTATTTAGTGAATTTTTAAAAGGTTTTCTTCACAAATTTTTATTTTTTAGATACATTTAAGTTAGGTATGCCTAAAAATTAAAAAAATTGCTTAAAATATTAAAAAAATCAATAAAAACAAAAAAACACGGAAAATAAGAAAGTAGAATTTTCTTAAAAGTGTTTTTTGAAAAATGAAACCAAGCATAGTGATTAGTTTTATTCATAGTATTAGACGATCTCTAATGAAATTATTATTGGATAATTTTCACTGTATTTAATGAAATAAATTTTATTTGTGTACTAAACAATAAATGAAATACAAAAAAAAAGAAAGAAAGAAGATAGATTGTTTGATTACAAAAATCAAACCAATAAATAAAAATAAATAAATAAAAACAGATTTTTATTTTGTTACAAAAATAAAATCAAAATCTGGTTTAAATAAATAATAATAAAACACAAAATAAATTAACAACTTACTTGATTAATTTATTGAACAAACTTTTGATCAAGTTTAGTGTTTAACAATGTGTCCTTAAGACAGATTCGTCCTATCCACGGTACTTTCAAATTTGCGGACATCTAGCTCCCAGGATAAAATAATCAACAACGAATAAATGCAGCACTACAATTTATTCGCACAACGAACACACTATGTGTTTACACTCTTTCTCACGGAAAATAAATGCAGCAAAATGCAGAGAGCAATAGTAGAAGCAAGAACGGAAAAATAAAATTCAGTGAAAAAACAAATAAGGGACTTGTCTTATTTATAGATGATTGGTGGTTGTTTGGTTTAAATTTAATAGGTACAAAACCTGTTTGAATAGGTATTGAATCTGTTCAGGACAGACTAAACAGTTAAGGCACTGTTTGGTTTGAAATTCAAACAGATATTGAATCTGTCTGGTTTTAATTCAAACAGATTGGAACTTGTTAGACAGATATGAAACTGTACACTGGACAGATTTGAATTTAAACTGTACAGAATTCGAAGAGGTGCAAATAGATTTGAATTCAAAAATTGAAATAAAATAAAATTCAAATGTTTTTTGTCCAAAAAGATAGGTATTGGGTCGAACAAGGCCAACCCAACCTCACATCACGCACTCGCACGCCAAGCCCAGCCCAGCTCGTCCGCCTGACCGGCGGCGGCGCACGTATGTGTTTATTTTTGGGTTCAATGAGTCTAGCCCACTTTGCCCATAACCTCCCTCTCTACAAAACTTGGGTGCCCCTTGGGGCCTACCCCAAGTTCCAAAACCATGCCTTATAAACCCACAAAATTCTTCCCACCAAACCAATGTGGGACAAGCCTTAAACCATACCTTTAAGAAATTTCGACCAAAAATTTCATTTTCATGGAGCTCACTTTGGCTTCAATTTCTTATTCACCCGATAATGATTTTAAGCAACTAAATATACCACGTGAATCACAATACGGAATAGAACGCATTACCACTTTGACCCGCAAAATTCAGCGCATGGGTACCACCTAAAAATTAGACCAAAGTTTAGAAAAAATTATGTTTTCCAAATTTTTTTTTCAAAAACTATTTCTAACAATCCCTCACATGAATGGAATTTGATGACAAAGGAAATGTAACAATATGCAGAATTTTCCGAAAGAGTATAAATTGAAAATATCTTGCATCAGGATAGGTAGTTTTCGGTCTTGAACCTTCCTTAGTGATAACCTATCAGACTTACTAGCTAACCAATGGACGCGATGCCTTGAATTGTTCAGCCGTTTGTGTAAGCCAAGATAATAGATTTCATACAAAATATCTTCTGACACATCGTGAATCTCACGGTTGTGTTCATTTTGGTCTCGAACGCTCTTGGTTGTTCATGAGTGCTTCTAAGGAATTTAGCCTCTTTATTCTCACAGAACCGGCCCCAGTTCGACACTCATATAGGTGATTCTTATTGTGAGTATCGCCTTATACTCGTCTTGATTTTATGCCTTAATCAAGATATAAGTAATCATTAAAAGCAAAGCTTATCCTTATACCCCTGCATACAATTAGTTGCAAATATTCACTATCACCATAGGACAGGGTAGGAATTTAATCCCTGGTGATTTTTGGTTGAGTCACACATAACTTAGTGTCCCTCTGTTGAACTAGTCTTAGATCTTCAGTCATATAAGTAAGGTACCATTCTATGATGAACTCCTTTATGTATAGGTTTTAATCCACATCTCCTTTGGGTCATGAACTATACAACTTACTCTTTTGTCAAATCTTTTTTAAACAGATCCGCAATATTCTCTGTTAGATTTTATATAATCCGTGAAGCCCCTGAAAAAAAAAGTATTTCTCTTAATAAAAACCCTTATGTTTTGAATTTATCCTTGGAAAGCCCCTCAGTTTTTTAAATTAATTTCGAATGCTGTCGGTTTTACTTTTTTTCTTTTAATTTTTTATCGAAACAGGATATCTAACCGAAATTAGGTTCCTTGTTAATTTAAATTTCATTCTACATAATAAAGTCCATACATGGCATTTATTCCAAGCCCTCACTTCTTTTATTATTTCAAGATTACCCAAAAAATGGTACATGTACTTTTTATACTATAGGTCACATCAAATCAATTTAGATCTACTATATAATATATGCATTAAGAAATGTGTCCTACACTATATATTGTTTTATACTATAGGTACCATCAAATCATTTTGAGATCTATATTATTATATTATATGTCCATTAAGAGAATGGTTGTCCATAGCACCTATATATTGAATAGCAATATTCTCATTTCCTTCCCCATGGCAGGCCACACTAGGAGGAGATATGAGGGACCTATTTTTCAAGACTAGTAATTATGACATTTCTAGAAGCTCTAGTACCTAGTACCCTTAAATCTAGTGGATTGTGTTGCCCAACACTAGTTACATCCAGACTAGAGGCTAACTTAAATATTGTTCTAAATCCCAAAACCTGATTTAAAAGTCGCCTAATCACTGCCCTATTCATTAGACCCCAAGTAAATCCAAACTTATCAATCTAATCCAATTAGTCGGCTTTATGTTTTTTACACCCAAATTGCTATAAAATATTACCACCCCCTAGGCATGGCATACACAAACACACAACACTCACATACATTCGGCTTAGAGGAGAGCAAGAGAGAGAAGGTCTTGAGAGGGTAGAGGAAAAGAAAGATGAGAACAATTTTGTTTCAAGCTTAGCAAGTAAAGCCACAGCACAACTCTCTCTTTTATTTTCCTTTTTTCAATACATGGTTCTTTAAGGATCTACCCATTGCTTTCAGATAGTGTTATTAATGATTTCCTTGTGTTAAAATGGATAAGAGTGAGCCATGATTCTACCCTCTCTATAGTTCCTTCAAATGTCGGTACAAAAACTATCTTTTTGTATACCAATCTCTCAACTTCCAAAGGGCACACTTCAAGGCTAATTTTATGAGTTTAATATATATTATTAGCTGGTTTCATCACAAAAGAAATTGAAAAATTGTCCCTAGTGAGGATCCCTTTCTCCAAATTCTTCTTGTTTGGGTTTTGTGCCTTAAAATCTGTTTTCACATCCAACTTTCAAAATTTCTAGAAAAATGTATAAAAAATATTCTGCGACTCTCATTTTATGTGAAATCTCTCTTAGGATTCATCTTCAATTAAAATTGTTTCCATTGAAACACACACGTGAGCGGTTTGTAAGAAAATCAAAGTTTCGTTACACGGTGACAAATCTGGACAGCGCTGGAAACATTTCTTAAATAACTAAAAATCTAGAAAAGCTATCACATTTCCGAAATATGTTCTGGAAACTAGATTAAATTCTCTACGAACCATAGGAAGGCTAGGTTCGGGAAATATCTGAAATAGCCCTTTTGATTTTAATCTTTAAATGGTATTGAATCTGGAAATTTAGTTTTGCATGGGTGTTTTATGCTCTTGTGTTCATGAATATGCTTATTAGTTTATGATCATGTCTTGGTATGATATTGCATGTGTTATGGTTATGTTCCTTATCTTCTTCATTTTAATGATGCATGCTTATGTGGATATTACTATCTTGTTGAGTTTGTTCTAACTTGACTTAAAACATTGATCCAAACGGAAAAACTTAATTGGGATGGTATTGGATTTTCGATCACTTGAATAATGAAGATATGGTAATGTGTTATGTATGGATTGAGGAGATGTGCTCCCTAATTGAAGTTTAAGTCTTGCGCAAGCAATTATCGCGTAAACCCTAGAATGGAACGGACGTATTCAGACTCTTTGCGATGGTTTGATTGGTGAGATAAGGTTGGGTCCGGATGGGACATTCAGGAAGATAAAACATTTTGGAAGGATAAGTTGGATTCAGGAGATAAAACCTTTTTATTTTCATTTTCTCTTTTGAGTCCCTGCGGTTGGCGCTACGCGGTATATAACCGTTGGTAGGCATTTGAGGTTAGTTTTGCAACAAATCAACAAAAGGGGGAGTTCCAAATAGTCCGGTGTCCAATTCTTGTGGTTGGGAGGATGAAATCTCTTTGGGGG